AAATCAGTAGCCATAAGCATCAGAGGACTGCTGAGAGCTCCTAACACTAGAGCACTGAATTTATATTTTAGTGTGTTTATGGGCCTGATTTGTCTCACACCTTCTGATTTGGTTTGTGTCTTCCAGACATGCTTCATCACTTACAAAGTGCTCCACAGATTCATGAAAACCCTGTATTTCAAAGTAAATGATTAGGAAATGTAGTAAAATAGTAAAAGGCTAGTATCCCTTAGCAGGGGCTACTCAAGACCGGATCAGGCATTTGCTATCACCATACCTCAGGATTGCATGACACTGATTTCTTTTTTAAATTAACTCCAGTTGGAGAAGATGCTAATTGATCAAAATAGTCAGGTGCTGAGCAGCTGAAAAATGACTTTGTTTTGCTCACTTCTGTTTTCTGTTTCACTGATAACTCATGGGAAGTACGCCCAGACAGCACATGCCAGCTCCACCACAGAATATATTCCTCGATTCATCAGTTCTCTACTGAGCACTAAAAAGCATTAGGATAAAATGAAAACGTGACTTACAGCCACACACTCTTTTTTGACTCAGCAAAAAAGACAGAAGGAAAATATCCTCAATACGTTAAAAATGGAAATCCTTTTCTTTCAGGGGCAACTGGACCTGTTCAGGTGATCATTACAGAGAGCACCAATCAGCCAAATTCCCACCCCATCCAGTGGAATGCACCAGAACCCTCTCATATCACCAAGTACATTCTGCGCTGGAGACCGGTGAGTGCTGTGCTCAGCCAGACCAATAGATGCACTCTGAGCTCCAGAAACACCTAGTTGCTAAAAGCACAAGGCTTTCACCTGTGGAGTCCTCATTTAGCTCTTTTTTTCAATGAGAACTTGCATGTTTCTTCATGAAAATTCCTCTTGTGTCCAAAAATATTTTATTTGGCCTTCTCTAATGACCACACGAAATAGCTGACGTGTTTTCAGTGAGCTTTAGTTGCTAATTGAGTGTCCATGGCCTGTCAAGGCAACAGGATCCATCTTTGAGTATCAAAAATGACTAGTGCTGTCTAAATACTTACTGTTTTCATGTGTAAGCGCTACTGGTCGCTATTTATGAACACTCCTTAACAATAGCACCACCACAGTAAGCAGGCTAACCTCATTCTTGCTCACTTTAATGCAGATCCATATGATACCATCCTTTAGTACCATGCACGTCCAGAGACAACTGAGATAGTTGTGGGAAGGTAAAAATGTGTAGGATTAAGATACAAATAGGCAGCATAGGTTTAAACAAAGTCATCTCCTGTCTTCCATAAAGCCTAAGCCAAAGCTGGTTAACCACTGCTTGTTGGCTTATTCGGGTTTGAGGAATGATTTGTTTCAACCAATGCAGATGAGTTGTGTTTAAGTTCCCCAGAGGGCAGTTTCACAAAAGACCGCTTAATCATTAAGAACATTAGTACCTCAATGCTGCCTGTTATTAAAGAGAACAATAAAGGCCCTGATCCAAAGCCATTAAAGGCACTCAAGTCTTTCTACAGGCTTAAGTGTATCTTGGATCAAGGCCTGAGTGAAGCGTACTTTAAAGCACTGGGGTACAAACCTCAGAGAATGGAACCTTATTTTAGAGAGTCCCAAAGAGCTCAAACAGACAGTAAAGGAAAGAACTGTTCTGTATGTTTCAGATGATAGCTTAGTGGGTTACTGTGAACAGCCTTCAAATATGCATTTTCTAGCCTTTCCTTATGCCTTGGTGCACCTTGATAAAAGTATGATTTTGTTGCATACAAATAATGTTCCTATTATGGTTCAAAACAAGATTGCTTTGAATTTATGCAGTAAAATGTAATCACCGCAAATGCTACTAGCGCTGCTTCCTGGCAATCGTTTTTTCATCTCCTTTGACTTGGCCCTGTACATTAACTGTTCAGTCCTGTGTTCAGATATCACAGTACCCAGTAACTGTGCAGCAGGTTAGGCCCCTGGAAGCCCCTGCTTGCAGGCTCTAGAATCTTCTAAGATATGAGCATCCTTGTTCTTGCAGAAAAACACTGGAAAGCACTGGAAGGAAGCCACCATCCCAGGTCACCTGAACTCCTACACCATCTCAGGCCTGAAGCCTGGTGTGATATATGAGGGGCAGCTCATCAGTGTCCAGCAGTATGGCCACAAAGAAGTCACTCGCTTTGATTTTACCACAACCAGCACCACAGCAGTGACAAGTAAGTCGAACAGTGGGGTGGAAGATGTACCTAGTAACACCTAAACTCACCATGTGATGGTTTCCCTAGATTTTCCCGTTGACATAGTATTGGTGTGCATTCCAGTTATTTAAACCTCTTCTGTCTTGTAGGCAACACCGTTTCAGGAGAAACAACTCTCCTTCCTCCTGTGGTTGCTACTTCAGAGTCGGTCACTGAAATCACAGCCAGCAGCTTCGTTGTCTCCTGGGTTTCTGCTTCCGACACCGTTTCTGGATTCCGTGTTGAATATGAGCTGAGCGAGGAGGGCGATGAGCCGCAGTATCTTGGTGAGACATTGCTTGAGTCTACTAGACCACTGCTTCGCCTACAGTGCGTCTGGCTGTTTTCTGTGACAGTCTCTATACCTGGGGTAGAGTGAGCATTTCACTGTCTTTTTCAGTGTCCTTTCTCTATCAGTGGCCATAAGCTCATGCCTAAGGAAGGGTACGAGAACAGGGCAAGTATGTAGCAGTAGCTTATGCTCTCCCAGCATGAGCTCCAGGGTCCTGGAGCTGAGAGCACCCTGAATTAGAGGCA